TCTAAACTCTGAATTGGACTCATTTGCATAGATCCGAGCAGCACGGCATCGAAGTGGTTAATATTTCTTTTTATAAAGCAGAATATGCCAGTCAATGAAATGTCTAGCCAAATGCTGAATGGTTTGAAAAATATTATTTTCTCTTTTCTCAGCATTTTCCCCTTTGTGTATAATAATCCATTTTAAGATTAAAAATGGTTCTGGCCAACACATTCGTGGAACATGGTCCTCTAGGCTTCTGTTGCATGACCTTCCTTGTAGACCTCATTTATGGCTCTTTCCCAGCACAGTGCTTTGGGGGCAAAATGTACACCCGACTGTAGATCAATTACTCAAATCAATTTTTGCAGAGTTATCATTATCCAAGTCGAAACTCTGATTTGGAAAGAGGTAGTAAGAGAAATATTTTTCCATGTGTATTTCCATTTCCTTAGAACATAAACATATTTTATTATTTCCTAAAAATGGCATTTTCCGGCCACAGGAACAGCTTATTTATTACTTTGTGAACTTTTTTTCTTAGCAGCAAAATGTACACGTCCATGGGTAAACCTAAACGCGGTCACAATCTAAATGTGTCAGTCACGTGATGGTTTTAGGTTTCATTAAGAACGTGTTTTCGGTAACAGAATGCACACTTGTGATTGGAGTAATTACACTAGACAGAGAAGATAGCTAACTAGTGAGCAGAACTAGAAGTGATTAAATGTAAGGGTGATGAGATACAAGAATGAGTCTCCATCGTACAACATCTAAGGAACCCCTATAAACCACTCACTCTCATTTAACATGGCGTTACACAGGGAAGAAAGCCCATGGTTTAAGTAGATGGCTTTCCGCTGGTGTTGGTTCTGCCCCACAGGAGACATTGGCAACATCTGGGGACATACATTGTCACCACTTTCAAAAGGGGTTTATGATAGTGTTCAGATAGTTTTCTTCCAAATTATAGATATATAAATAATTTTAAATAGTTTATTATGGGCAATTACATACTCAGTAATGCTTGGACATGTGGAGACTATAAAATGGCTTATAATTTAAAAATCTTATCATTCACCAAGTTACCATGGCAACTGGCTTTTTTTTTTTTTTTTTTTTTGAGACAGAGTTTCTCTGTGTAGCTTTGGAGCCTGTCTTAGAACTTGCTCTGTAGACCAGGTTGGACTCGAACTCACAGAGATCCATCTGCCTCTGCCTCCCGAGTGTTGGATTTAAAGGCATGCACCACCACTGCATAACAGTAACTGACTTGTAACTGAGTGTTACACTTTGTAGATCTGCTTTCTCTTTCCTATTAATCTTATGGTAAAACCACAAAGTGAATAGTTGATTTCCAGAAGGAAGGGAAATAGGAGAAGAGAAGCAAAAGGGTTTGATGGCACCCAAATTCAATTATCCTGCATTGGTTATTTGAAAGTGGGTTACTTTCTGTGTTTGCTATGAATTGAGTAACTCCCAAAATTCTTATGTTAAAACACCACTGTAGTAGTATTGTGAGGTGGGACCTTTAAGATGCGATTACATCATGAAGGCAGTGCCTTTGTCCTTATAAAACATTGGGGGCCCCTGTGGAAGAGTGCCTTGTCAACTGGCTGAGGCCCTTGTCTTTTTGCTTGTCCGTGCCCCCCCCCCAATGTGGAACACAGCTTGTGTCCTTTTCACCTCTACTACCAGAGTATCCAGAGGAGGATCCAGAGGAGGCAGGAACCAGAGGAGGATCCAGAGGAGGGGGGATCCAGAGGAGGATCCAGAGGCCTTGGCAGTTTGAGTTCCAAAGACGATTTTTGACTTCTCCACCTCCAGAACTGTGAGAAATCAATTTCTATTCTTTGTAAATTACTAACTACAGGCATTTTGCTATAGCAACATGAGTGGACTAAGATGCTAATTTGAAACTGAATAATAGAGACCAAAACCCGAAATCTAGTTTAAAATGCAAGAAGTTGCAATTTCCCTTTTTACTGGAAAATAAAGTAAGAATAAAATGTTTTAACTTCTTCCCTTTTAGACTTGTATGTATAAGTTTAGGCTTGTATGTGGACAGAAACTAAACAACCTATCTGATAATTTACAAATAATGTGGTGTGGACTTTAATCCTAACAGTATGACAGTAAAGAAGGGAAATGTTTGAAAGAGCCAACATTTTAGGCCTTGTGATATATATCTGCTTTGCTATTAGTTAAATTCGGAAATTCTTAAGAACACAAGAATTGGTGGTTAGGAACTGAGCCTTCTCCCTGTGTCTGCATCTGAGCCTCTGTCTTATCAGCACGGAAGCCTGAAGACGACAGTGATGCTAAGCAGTAGTCTTCATTCTCAGTTTTGCCAGAATGTTTGGATTTCTTCACAAAGCGGTAGCCCCTGCGATTGCTTGTCAGGGCTGTTCAAATGAGGTTTAACTAAGAAGAGAAGTGTAGCTTAAATGTGGTTGACACCATTCCACAGCCAGGGTTCAGAGCTGAACAGAAGGCGAAGGTGGGTATTGCCTCCCCCTAGCCTTCATGCAGGGGAGCTTGGTCCCGCCTCAGCTCTATGTGCCATGCTTTGTGGATGCCCATGGAAGGTCCACCCCTTTCTGAATGGAGATGGGGGAGGAGTAAATGGAGGAGGGGAGGGGAAGCTGTGGTTGGGATATATAATAAATAAATAAATTTAATAAATAAATTTAATAAAATGCAATAAACAAAATTAACATTTTTTTTTAAACGAGAAGCTGGGCTGAGTACCAGCATCCATCTCTGACTTCTGAGTTTATAGGGACTGTGACCAGCAGCCTCATGCTTCTGCCGCCACACCTTCTGGACCATGCTGATGCACACTCAGACTGGGAGCCAAAGTGAACTTTCTCCTCTGAGTTGCTTCTGTCGCTTATAACAGCAGTAAGAAAATGAACTAGCCCAGACGGGCTTCTGGGAAGAGTTGGAGGTGGAGCCTATGAGAAGCAGCCTGGCCCTGTCCTCCTGCAGGGCCCATGGCAGCTCAGGCCTAGCGAAGCATTGACAGTAAGCTGCATTATTCACGCCACACTTTTCTGCTCACTCATTTGAGAACTGTTCGAAATGCAAGGTTAAAAATATTATAAAACACTTTCCATGTTATAAAATATAGCACTTACTGAAGGACCACACACAGACGTTCAACTAAGAACTCCTGGAAAGGATTCATACATGACTGAAATATTTTCCTGCAATCATCTGTGAGATTCACCCCACAAGAATTTTCTAATATTCTTCTTCATGTTATTGTAATAAGCCTAATCTATTCTTTATGGTAATGGCATGGTAATGAACCTGTTTCTCATCAGTACAGTATCAGATAAGTGAGATATGTCTTGGAAGATAACTATACAAACTTGCCTTCTGACATTGTTTTTCTCATTTTCTGAACTCAATTTGTATGTAAATTTGTCCACCTATTTTATGCATGTTTTCTATATTGCAAAGATAGTAGACAGCAAATTATATAAGTTATACTGCACAGTTTCATATACCTACACATCCATTGTTCATATATGTAACCATCACCCAGATTAAGATATATGACATTTCCTCAAAGCGTCCCCTCATGAATGGAGACTTGACAGCTTCCAGATAACTACTGTTCTGGTCTCTATAATTGTGTTAGTTTTACCTGCTCTAAAATGTCTACTAATGAGACACAGTGTGCCTTAATATGTCTGGTTTCTCTTTAATGGAACAAACTGGGGTTAATAAAGAAAATATGGGAAGGGAAAAATATGACCAAAATATACTGTATGAAATAAAATTTAAATTAAAGAAATAAATTAAGAATAATAAAATAAAGGTTTTTAACATGTGAAAAAGCACAGGCACTAAGGGGGAAATATTGGAGGACAGTGCCATATGCATTAAAACAGATGTGGGCTTCCAAAGAGTTTCCCATTTATTTACAAAAAAATGGTTTTCATTAAGACATCTACTGATAACTTCCGATTTCTTGCTTTGCTTCGCAAAACTCTTTAAAACAATGTAGAATGTTCTCTGACTTTGTGTGAGATTTGTATTTCCTTAGGGGAAAAAAAATCTAAGGATTGAGTACCCTTATGAAATGGTAGAAAGCTCTTGGTAATAGACAGGTGATAAGTGCTGAGTGCTGATGGGCGAGAAAGGACTGTGGTGTCTGGCCTCTAAATAGACATATAAACAAAGGTGGGGCTTACCATCCACAAAGACTCAGTAAGTCACATCCCTGTTGAATCCCCTCTATGGCAAAGCTCCTTGGGGCAACACATCCTTTTGACATTGCATGAGTATATTTGTGATTATACTTTCAGAATGGATTAGGAAGTATACGGTCAGAGTTGTCAGAATTCTAACTCCTACTTGTCTGGCATCGTCTGTCCTGGGGGTACGTGTATGGAATGAGAAAATGTAGATGGTCATGTATGTACTATACGCCAAGGAAAAGAAACCGGAAGAAAAAGCTGAAGAAAAGACAAAGCCAGAGGGTAATAGAAACCCTCTTCCCAATTCAATAAGACTACAAAATGGAGTGCATACCTCAACGGAGAAGCCAAAGCCTTGTGAAGTGACTAAGGTCCGAGGAATAAATGAGAAATACATCTATGCCAAGCAAATTTCATTTGTACGTTTTCCTCTATTTTTTTTTTTTTTTTTTACAATAAATACCATTGGATCCAGTTTAAAATTTCAAAATGAGATCCAGGGACAAACGCAAGAAAAACAAGATAATTTAAGTGGGCAATCTAAAACCAAATCCATAGCTGCTGGTGCTCAACAATATTAAATAGTAACTGTGATAAATCCCTGAGTCCAGCGAGCACGGAGTGTGACTACCACGCAGGGAAGAAACTCCAGCATGAGGGGCTTCAGATACCTGACCTGAGCTCAGACTGCTGCACAGACCACAGCTTGGAGAAGCACAATACCGCGTGTAACAATTGCACTTGGCATTTCTCACTGGATTAACTAGTCATTCCCGGTTCAACACCAGTGTCAATGCAAAATTTACTCACTTGTGCAAAACCGCACGCTGTGAAGTCCTCAAAGAAGGGCAGACTTGGACGATCTTCTCTATAAATGGTGAGTTTATACGTGGTTACCATGTCACCCTCTGCTAGAGATTCATCCACCACGAGCATGGAGATTCGGTTCATCCCTAATCCCAGAGGATAATTGGCAAAGCTGAGGGCAGACAGTGGGAGGAGGTGGAGAGTGAGAGATGGAAGAGGATTAATATGGATGGGGACAATCATTCCGGCCAAACAGATGCAGATATCACTATTTATTATTATTATTATTATCAACATCATCATCATCTTTATCATTATCATCATTATTATCAGTATGGTGATTGTTACTGGCCTAAAACATATAAAAGCTGCATCATTTCATAAGAAATGTTAAATATGAAAAATCTCCCTTTCTTACTTCTTAGTTATATCCTTCATTAACTAGAGGGAAAGAAGCTAATATTACTAACCACCTTTCAGGGTCAGGAATTACTTCTAATACAATAGCTCTACACAAAACCATGTTGGCCCTTATAAACATGAAGAGTCTTTTTCATTTTTTTGAGATGAGGTTTCTGTATATAGCCCTGGCTATCCTGAAACTTACTCTGTATACCAGTCTGGCCTCAAACTCAGAGATCCATCTGCCTCTGCCTCTTCCTCTTCCTCTTCCTCTGCCTCTACCTCTCAAGAAGCATGCCTTGGATTAAAGGATGCACCATAATTGTTCAGCAACATAGAGAATTTTAAAAAGAGCTAATAATCAAATTGCCTCAAGTTACATGGTAGAGCCAGGGTAGAACCCAGGTCAGAGTAACATGAATCCTCTCTTCCTTTATCTATCTAAGTCTTCTTTCTTTTCCTCCCTTCTTCCCTCTTTCTCTTTTCTCCCCTTCTTTTGACCGATATTCTCATGTATCCCAGGCTGGCTTCCAACTGAGTGTTGAACCCAAGGTTTCTTGCATGCTGGCAAGCTCTCTATTAATGGAGGGATGTCCTGAGCTCAAATCCTCCTTTCTTTATACTAACCTTGACTGCTAGCAATATCAAGCATTTTCCTTACCCTACAGCAGAGGTTCTCAACCTTCCTAATGCTGTGACCCTTAAATACAGTTCCTCATGTGTGGTCCCCAACCAGAAAATTATTTTCATTGCTACTTCACAACTGCAATTTTGCTACTCTTACGAATTGTATAAAAAAAAAGTGTCTGTGTTTTCCAAAGGTCTTAGGTGACCCCTGTAAAAGGGTCATTCAACCAACAAAGGGAATAAAGACCCACAGGTTGAGAACCTCTGCCCTAGTCTTTGTCTTTATGGACACTATATGTAACAAGGTTCAGGTTGTGTTCCAATTTTCAAGCAAAAGAGTTGGAGTCTTTCAAATACATCTATAGAAAATAACAACAGATAAAGAAGTAAGTCAAGAAATAAACCCTGAAAGATGAGCAAGGCCAGCATACTGTGCCCACAGATCTTCACCAGACTGGAGACATGGGCTTAGAGTAAAAGGGGGGTCACTGTTTATCAGCAGCAGCTCCAGCAATCTTAAGACAAGGAGATGCGATGGAGCAAAATTCTTGATGGCTGCCCCTCATAGTCTCTCTATCCAGACCCTCTCTTGGTACAGTATGGTTATGAAGATTAACTCCTGTTTTTTTGTAGACTGATAGAGAATTTGTGGTTATTCTCTAAGCATGTGAAGCCAGACAGAGGAAGACTTCACACCACCATGCTTTCCAGAAGGGCTGTGCTCCAGCTGCTCTGCGGGATCAGACGTCTGCCTTCTGGTGAGGTGTCAAGTCAGTGGGCTCCCATCCCCATACCTCGGTCCAGCCCGCTCTTGCAGATGCACCTTGCACTGACACTTAGAAGGCTCTGCTCCGATCCTCACTGTTAGCACATCAAATGGCACTTCACAATAATAATCTTTGATCTTTGGATTAAACTCGGGACTCAGTTCCAAACGGGGATGGGTGAAGATCTTCTTGATACGGCAAAGTGTGTCTTCCTCTGTTGCCAAGACAGGAAGAAAGGCAAAGGCAACTGTGAATGGCATATAGGTAACTGTGTGGGATTAAGGTGTTTCCCCTCTCCTACTCCTGTGCACAGTTTTAGTAATTGGTGGCTATCTACTCAGCACCTAGGCACAATTGCTTTGTGGCATCAATTGATTTCCAATTTCTCACATATGCTGTATCGTCCATAAACCAGGCATTCACTCTAGTCGACACAATACAGATAGTATTTTTTTCTCAGTCCTTGAAACCATGAAGGCACAGAAGGTGAAGGAAAATGTCTCTCCTGTGGGTTGATAACATCCTCATGGGATACATGACATCTTAATTAATTATGAAAATGGAGTTAATGGTTCCATGGGACAGTGACAGAAGGGAACCAGCAGGCAACCAAGAAATCTTCTTAATGAAAAACGTTATAAAACTGCCAATCGTTGATATAAGGGTAGTTGGGTAGAGCAAAGAATGTGAACTTTGGTATCATACCAACCACATAGTGCGAAAGAATCACAAAGCATCCTGAAATACCTTTCCAAGCCACCTCATCAGGGGGAAGTGTCAGAAAGCAATAGAAGGAAATGCTGTATCTGTTTAAACTTGTTATCAAGCCTACAATGACTTCATGCCATTGACTATAAATTTTCCTTTGGCAACTCGTTTTATAGCAAACACTATCTTGGTACAAGAAGAGAAAAACAGCTTCAGTGGTGGGAACACAGAGCAGCCCCTGTTAAATTACACCTAACACTAATATTTGGAATGAACAAAAGGACTCAAGAGTTTATCAAAATTGTTTCCAAAGTGTTATCTACAAATAGTTTATCTATTCTTTACAGCAGTCAATGGAACTCCAGCAAATGTAAGTCTAGAAAACGCTCCTGAAATCAGCAAAGTAAGGGTACCTTAGCATCATTTGGCATTCAGTGATACTGAATAGCCACAGCAAGCAAAGGTGCAATAGGGTTCAATACCAGAAAGTGGGGACTGAAGGTAGTAAAAAGACATTGTTCCGGTCACTTTTGCCCTTCTCCTTTCTACAGCGAACATAATAATTTCTCTAAAAATCAAATCTGACAGTTTGATTACAATTATAGTAGTAGTTTCTCGTCATTTCCAGAGTCACACTAAAGAGGAGGAAAGGCACAAGGGCCCCTTGTTTTGCCATTCATTACTTCTGGTATTATGTCCTAGACTTTGTACTTCACTAAGACCAAATTCTGATATGCTTTTGAAGGAATGGCATCACCCAAGGTGGGGACAGAAAACCACCATCCAGCTGTAGCACTCTAGCTCTGAGAGCCAGGTCTCCACATAGCTGCTTGTGTGCTCTTAGCAATGAAAGTTAATATAAGCATTTCTGCCTCCTGTTCTGTGGTTTTCTGTGCCAATGGGAGAAAAACAATTTATCAAGTATAAATTAAGAGCACAATAGTGTTGTGGGATATTTGTACACTGTGCAAAGGTAAATTACTGTGATTGGTTTAATAAAGAACTAGCGGCCAATAGCTAGACAGGAGATATAGTCAGGATATCTGGACAGAAAGAAAGGAAGGAGGAAATAATTGAGATGCAGAGAGATGAAAGGAATCACAGAACAAGTAGGATGTAAAACATGAAAGAAAAGTTAAAAAGCCATGTCATAAAATGTAGATTTAAAATGGGCTAATTTAAGTTATAAGAGCTAGTTAGGAACAAGCCTAAGCTATAGGATGAGATTCCATGATTAATATAAATCTCCATGTCATTATTTGGAAGCTGGCTGGGGAGACAGAGAAAGATTCGTCACAGAATAGTATCATAAATATGGTGTCATTTCATTCTACAGAACAATTTTGTTAAAAAGAAAAAACCCAACAAGTCAAATTTGTTGAATCTCAAAGTGATTTGAGTAAACTGTTTAATTTTATTTGGCATTTTAAAAGAACAAGTCAACTAAAGATACCTTTCTTTCTCTCTCTCTCTCTCTCTCTCTCTCTCTCTCTCTCTCTCTCTCTCACACACACACACACACACACACAATTCAACTATAATTTTAATAATCTGTCTCAAAATGGTTCATAAGAATATAAGTAGAGCCAGGTGGATCTTGTGAGTTCGAGGCCAGCCAGGTCTACAGAGTGAGTTCAAGGACAGCCATGGCTAAGCAGAGAAACCCTGTCTCGAAAAGTTCAAAGAAAGGAAGAAAGGCTATAAGAATAGAGTAGTATAACCCACACTGAAAATAACCATTGCTCTTAATTCAAATTCAGTGGCTTCTTAAAAATGCACTGATTTTTAAAGTCAAAGTCCCACCCACCCCATTCACTGCCTCTGTTCAAGGCACGGAGACAAGCGTAGTGAAAACAGGAGGTTAACAGTCTTGGGATTTGATCCAAATGAACGCGCTGACCCCAGCATAACACCAAACAAACTGGAGCAGCCATCAGCCCTGCTTAGGGAGGCCTGAGCTGCCCAGGCACGAAGGGAGTATAAATACACTTTGTGCTCAGCGCCACTTGAATGAATAACAAAGCAGTCGATTTTTTTTATCAACATGAATCATAGAAGATGTTTTTTAAGTTAATAGGCTTCCTTTTGCTTTTTATATACTTCATTTATTTCATTTTGACACATGGTCTTCCCATATAGCTTACGCTGGCTTTGAACTGTTGATCTTCCGGCTTCAGGCCCCCAGCACTGGGGTCACAGGAGTGCACCACTTCTCCTAACTAAGGAATATATTTTTCTAACAATTCAGTGAGAATTAATTTCCTTTCAGTTTATACTATTTTACGTTCCTTTTTATATTCCACAGCGTAGTCACAGTTTTCAAAGGGGGCTTGTAAGTTGAACCTCACCTCCACAAGAGATGAAATAAATGTGCGGTTATTTTCGTAAGCACGATTTCATCAAGACCCCTCCCCCAGCATCACCACCAAACTTTCCACTTCTGGGGTGGTTGCTGCATCCTGGACCCTGGCTTGAAAGTTGCTTTAGCCCTGACATCATTGCAACTGCACGAAGGCTGCTCTATTTGGCGTGTCCTTGGCATCTTTCCCAGTCCAGTCCTGACTTGTCTCGGGCCGCTTACCTTAGCTCTATGGAGAACTCGGCCCGAAGGACGGTGGTCGCAGGCTGCTCAACCTATTTGGCAAGCAGGCATAGGAAAGCTGTTTGAACTTTTGGTGGTTTTTAACGGATTTCTTTTAACCATAGGATTTTATTGCTCCCTTGATGGATCATCGTAACTCATATTGAATGCAGAAAAGCTTATTCTCTTAAAGATTGCCCCACCTGTCCAGGAGCATCACGCAGAGTATTTTTAAATCTCATATCAAACCATAAAAGCAGGGAAATTAATAGTACAGATCCAGGTAGCATGGGTTTTTAATCAGGGAATAAAGGACATGAAGGAAGTTGAAGGGATTTCCTGACAATGTGCCCTCCTCTACATCACATTACTTGGGATCTGAAGAGTGATGACGTCACCCAGTGCAGAATACAGAAGGCCACAGAGATGATCAAGCTTTCCCACATTGCATTTAGCCCTGGGCTTAGCCCAGGACACATGCTCAAAAAAATAATAGACCTGGCTATCCTCGAACTCACAAAGATTTGCCTACTTCTGCCTTCCAAGTGCTGGGATTAAAGGCCTGCGCCACCACCATCCAGCTGAGCATTTCTTCTTTTAAAATCATACCCAGAACAGCAGGGAACCAAGGGAAAAGAAAACTGGGTCTTATAGGTGTGAGGAATTGGTAACCAAGGCAGACACACACACACACACACACACACACACACACACACACACACTTCTGCTCTCTTTTCCCTGGTAAGTACAGCAATACTTGAAAAACTTTATGCCTTTAACTAAATGCACTTGTTGGTTTTATAGACTAATACTACTTAATATAGTGTGATATTTGGTGTGATTATTGAAAAAGTATGAATAAACAACAATATTTTGAAGGAAAACAAGTTGGATTTTATTAAATTATAACACCTAATTATAATAAACTAAGCCTAAATTTATACATGGCAAATTTTTGACTTTTGTGTTTCAATGAATTTATTTTGGAAAACAAGTTTTGCCTTTTCTTTCTTTCTTTTTTTAGACAAGATTTCTCTGTGTAGCCCTGACAGTCCTAGAACTCACTCCGTTTAGACCAAACTCCGTACCTCAGAGATCTGCCTGCCTCTGTCTCTGAGTGCTAGGATTAGAGGTGTGCATCTGAATATGATAAAAATGCTTATATTTTTTCAAAGTTGGAATGTGTCTAAACTGTGAGCTTTACTATGGAAACACTCAATCTCAACTCACCATTATTGCAATGTATATCTTTATTTTCATACGAAACTCGTGGAACTGCATCTAAAATTAAAAAGTAAATTAAAATCAAACTATAAATTTAATGTAAAAATTTTCCCCTCTCTCCTCTCTCTCATTCTGAATCTGGAGCTTACTGACCAGCTAGATGGGCCAACCAACCAGCGAGACCCAAGGATCTTCCGTCCCTAAGTACCCCCATACTTCCAAGTGCTGGGGACTGGCATTGTCTTACCCAGAGTGCACATTGGTGCTAGGAAGGGGACACAGACACTCCTGTGCAAACGGCTAGCACTTTCCTGACTGAGTCATCTCTCCATGCCTCACCAACAAGCATTTCTAAGCAAAGCTGACAGCTACAGGATTAAAACTCAAAGAAGTGATTACTTCTAGTAGGAGAATATTAGAGAAACGAAGGCAGGGTCAGAATGAAGCGCTAATCTAATTAATCTTAATCAATAAAAACCCAGGAGTCAGATATGGAGTGAAAGCTGGGAAGATCAGAGAACTGGGAGCAGTCACCAGTTGTTTCCTGCCCCTCTCCTTCCTGCACCCTAAAAGTCTGAGAGCCTGTCTATACCCCACCTCATCACTTCCTATCTCCACCTCCCGAGTGCTGGGACTAAAGGCACAGGCCACCACTGCCCAGCTTGTTTGGTTAGCTAGTGGCTAGCTCTGCCCTCTGAGCTCCAGGCAAGCTTTGTTAAAACACAAACCAATTATCACACAACAGCCTGAATGTCATCTTTAGCCTAAAGGTAAATTACTACATTTTCTTCTAGTTCTGTGATCCTATGCTGTCATTTCCTAAATTATTGAAATGGAGATATTCTAGCTCTGTACCAAAATGGTTACCCTGTATCAAATTTCTATATAACTAAATATCCATCTGAAAAAAAACTTAATAAATATTTATGGACAAATGAATGCATAAAATATTAGAGTGCTTTAAAATGTTTATTAATAAAAAAGAAAGGAGACAGTGGCAGAAGAGAACAGTCATGCTAAACCCTTGCCCGTCCATCGCTGGGCCTGCTGATTTGTTTTATTGAATCTGCCCTTCTCAACCAGTGTCCTTCAAACTCACTGGTGCATCTTCAACTAAAATTCTGGTTAGATGACTTATTGCAGTACCACTGAGAACCATAGTACTGGATAAAATCCTGGTTATAACAGGCGTTCTTTAGTTAAAGGAAAGAAATATATTAGTTGGTATTTCTTTCATTTTTTTCTTCTCAAAAATATTTTCTTCTTGTATGACAAAATATTAGCTATTCTTTTCTTTTTATTGCGAAAAGGAAAAAAAAAGTTTCTGCCTCCTCCCAGCCTCCCATTTCCCTCCCCCTCCTCCCACCTCCCACCTTTCTCCCCCTCCCCCCACTCCTCTCCCCCTCCCTCTCCAGTCCAAAGAGCAGTCAGGGTTCCCTGCCCTGTGAAAAGTCCAAGGTCCTCCCCCCTCCATCCATGTCTAGGAAGGTGAACATCCAAAGCATGGGATAAAACCGGACTCTCTGATCATGGCGAACAATGAGGGCTGATGAGAAGCCAAGGACAATGGCACGGGGTTTTGATCCTACTTCATGTTCTGGCTTGGTGGGAGCCTAGCCAGTTTGGATGTTCACCTTCCTAGCTATTCTTTAAAAAACAAGATACGAAGAAAAAAAGGGTACATTAGGGGGAAAATTACCAACAAAGTTCCTTGAGGTTCCTCTTGCTAACGGCAGCTGTTACATTCAACCATAAATCCTGAACATCGTTTGTGGCAAATATTTTTTCTAGCTATTTCTAGAATTTTATTTCAGGACTGTAGGCTCACAGGTACAGTCAATCTACTCCTACAGCAATAATGGTGGTTTCTAATATTTTTCATTTATTACTTGTTTATTTTTATAATTTGCTGAACAATGTATTATAAATAGGTACCACACTTTCTCAGATGTTACATTACTGTTTATTAAAATATGCAATTTTTAAATGTTCATATATATTCTTAATTATGTTCTTAAGATGAATAGTTAACAGTAGAATTCTTAGTCCATAAGGACAAATTTTATTTAACTAGATAATCTATTTTTGCATATTAAGAATTGAGCCTAGAACCTCCACATGGCAAGCCTGTGATCTACCGCTGAGGGCTAAGCGTCCAAGAGTAACTTGTAAAGCTTCCCTTCTATGCTGTCAGGTGTCCCCTTAACATGTGCTCTGTTGGAAACATTCACCACCAGTATGAAAGTTCCTGTTTCCCCTCACCCCTCCCCTATCTTTAAGAAGAACATCCAATTTTGAGGGGGAAAAAATGTCACTTTCTAGCTTTATTTTCATTTTCGATCGCTAGCAAAGTTAAACACTGTAAATATATTTTAAAGCCAGATAGTACTTTTCTTTCTGCTTTGCTATGTGAAACTATGTGCTTTTACCTTTTTGACTGTTGATTGCTTCCAATGACTTTTGTGGTTTCTCAATGGCCTCATTTCTTGTTGAAGAATTCCTGCAACACAATGCCAAGCAAGTCCAAGTCAACAAGGTGAACACACTGAGTTTTTTCCCGGGGGAGCACAGTTATTTTGGTGAAGACAAGAAACACTGTCTGGATGTCATTCCTCAGTTGGCCATCTAGCCTCTGGTGGGGTGGGTGGAAATCTTAAAAGCAGTCACTCTCTAGTTGGAAGCTGAACAACTTCAGATAGCTTAGCTCCGACGAGGTGATTTAAAAAACGCACATTCTCCCTGGGATCTCTGCCTAACGTTCCACAGCTTTCATGCCAAGAGCCTTCGAAGTCCTGAGAATGTACACAAAATTAGAGAAACCAATGTGGCTACAGGAACAGCCGACATTGCCAAAGTGTGTCCTTGCACTTGCCGACAGTCAACAGAGACCGGCAAAGGTTGTTTATACCTTGGCATGCTCCCTTCACTTTCTGTGTCGTACAAGTAACAGGACGCTTGGCTGGATGAACCCTTAAGTCCTTCTGATTGGAGCGACACTAGCGTAAACTGTAGTCAGAACATTTTCTGGTCTGGAGACTAGAGAGCGCAGGACACTCTGGTCTCTAGCCCTTGACGTGCCTTTCCTGTGTTAAAGTGATACTTTGTTGTCTGTCACCCTATTAAAATGGAGAGATTAGTATTTGCTCCGCACAGGAACACCGTGAGAATCAAATAAAAATGTCAGTGCCAGACACGGTGCTGAGTAATGCAGCCCAAAGCACAGGAAGGCAGATTCAGGCCGGGGCAAGCATCATCATCAGGCAGGAAATCGAGAAAAATTAGGCATAAAACAGAGTCTGCTAATTGCTAATTACCATTTCTATCCTTGCCAATGCTAGAAGTTATGGTAATTTTACTTCTAAAAGTCTGTTTTATTTTGGTATACACACACACACACACAAAACTCCACAAAAACAACAACAACAACAAAAAGCTGGAGGCAAAAATGTAGTGATTCCTTCGAAGGAATGAAATAGCAGGTAAAGCATGCTTGTCAAGAGGTGTGAAGTTTTTGATGGTGGTGAGATTTTCGGTTGTTTCTTAATTTTACTTTTGTAAAGCTGGGGACCCAACCCAGAGCTTTCTGCACAGTGGCAGTAACTCTACTAACGAGGTAAGTTTAGCTGAAGTCCAAATTAAGAAAAACAAAATCTAAGAATTTCCCACGAACAAGTACTTCCCGGAGACTCATTCAAGAGATACAGCCCCGAAGTCCACGTGAACGGAATTATGGGAGCGTGACTATGTTAACGGAATGACAACTTGTACAAAAGAGCTGCCTGCCGTTTGTTCTCGGGGGTTTCTGTGAATGGATTCTTGTTAAACTGGTGTGTGTTTTCTAAGAAAAAGAGTTCCACAAAACCTTTCCAACATATGCAACTTTCTTTTCAGGAAAGGGAGGATTAACAGACGCTATTAGGGTTTCCACACCGCTTCAGTTGGGGCCTCTGCATTCTGGGCCTTGGGGCTCCCACATAAATGTTACCTGTCACTGCTGGGGTTCCAGCTTTGTCTTTTCTTACTCTTTTGCCATGCAACAAGCAAATGATCTTTATTTCAAGAGAAAGACTAAGTGATTAGATTCCCAATGCTGTACATGTATAAAAGCTGCTTTGCTATGGCCATTGGGAAGATGAGAACATGGCCACCTCCATGCCTGCCTGATACACTGGATAAAAGTTCAGAGCCATGGGTGAGGGGTAAGTTAGTATTTGTATTAGCCGAATGTCTTAAGCTACTGATTTAGAATCTTAATTTCCCTCATCCGGGAAATTTGTGTGAGGAATAATCCCTCTTGCAATAAAGTACGAATGATAAGAAATATACACTCTCCCTGGAAAGTGGAAGGTGATGCAAGCTGAGCACTGATGACAAAAAAAAAAAAAACATTTCTGGGAGCATTATGCTATCTGACTTCTGATAAACACCAGAATTTGCTTCTGTTGGTGTTAATAGAGAAATCTGTTGAACATGTATGGCTTTCCTTATAAAGAAAAGAAAACTACTGCCCTCGCCATAGATGCTAAAATGACCTTTGAGTGCACACAGACATGAAAGATAAACTGCTTTATCATCTGTTTACATGCTAGTGTGACATACACAATACTTTCTATGTAATCCTCCTAGAGTAATACATGGTAGGCAGCCTAAGCCATGTTTACACATGAGGAAATTAAGTCCTGAAGGATGCAGAACTTTGCCTGCTATAACTAATAAACTTAAATATTGGGATTTATTTCATCCAACTCTGTATGATTTAAAATAGCTCTTGTCCTTAATAATAATATTCAATGGTGATCATTCTCACATTCCTTTAAGGTAAGAGAACTCAGTCTTCTGATTTCAAGCAGTTGTTTGCTGAGCCTGGTCGTATATGAGGAGCTGGAGAAAACTTTGTCAGGGAACAAATGTTGTGAAGCTTGCAAATCTCTAGGGAATTCACGGAATGTTACAAACAATACAAATAAACTCTTTGGAAATTCTCCTCGGTTCTTTGTCTATACTGAAGTACGAGGAAGTCTTGGCTTATTCGCATGAATGCAAAGTATAAAAGGTGGCTTTATGCCGTAATATTTAAAATGGTTTTCAAGCACAGAAGGGAAAACTGGACTTACCGAGGGAATAAAGCCAAGCTTAGAAAGCCTTTGCAAGTAAAGTGAATATTAATGCTAGAACATGTTTGAAGAAGTACTCAGTATATGGTTATTTGTATTTTTAATTACAGATGAGTTTCTTCTAGCCACTATCTCCTGAAGCCGAAGGAAATAAAGGGCAAGTGAGCGGAGCTGAAGCCATTCCCAGCAGTGACTGTAAGAGACATAAATGAGTGTCATGTCCCTTAGTCTTTCATCTCCCTGGGAGGCTTAGGTCTAATTCTGTTTTCCTGGCAGTAGAAAAGTCAAATGCTCTCTTAATTCTATCCATATTAAAGAACAGACAAAGCTTTAAGTGCATCCCCTTTGCCAGCTACTAGGGGCATTAATAGCTCACCTGCCTTTTCCCTCATGGCTACCTCTCGTAAGAGTGGAAGTGAAGATGGAAAAAAAAAAAAAAAACTCTCTAAAAGCAAAGCAAACAAAGCGGAGTCTAGATTCATGAAATTAGATGAGATTTGCTCAGAATAGTCATACCTCTATAATGCCCAAATAAACGTGCCTGCTGGTCTATCTCCAAGATGACGGATGGTTCAAAATACAAGCCCCACCAAATCTTTCTGATGTTTCAGCAATGGAAATGTATGGATTGTGGGGGCCCACAGAAATAGGTCCACTCCACCTTGACTGAAGGTCAGAGAGCTTAAGCCTCCTCTTATTCTTTCAAAGTTATTGACAAGAGGTCTGACTAAAGGTGTGGTTACAGAGAAGATACCCTGACCTAGGGTGTGGTTACTGATGTTTTGGATATTAAGATGGCCACAGAGGTAGATCAGCTCCACCTTGACCAAAGGTCAGAGAATTCAAGCCTATTCCTGCTCCTTCAAGGATATGACAGGAGCTTTGGCCCAGGAAGTGGGTGCCTACAGAATGCTTGGTCCAAGGTGCTGTAATCACACGTCCTGCCTAAACAGAGGATACAGTTGCTTGATGTTTCAAGTACTAACGTAACTGACTGTTCTGCTTGTTCTTTGTGTCATATTAAAACAGTCTTTTGCCTTTTCCCTTCCCCCTCCCCCACTTCTTTGGATTGGGGCCTATAAGCATAAGGAAAATAAACATGGGCATTTTCAGTATTCAGTATTCTCTGGATAGCCCCCCAGTTCTATCCCATGGCTATGTATTTCTTTCGTACCTCTGTTCCTCCTACCTAATTTTCTAATCCACATTTCTCTACCCTGGAATGTGTGAACCCCATCGAGGCTGGACCCCGACAGATGCCACTCCAATATTTCACTACGACAAAGGATCACAAGAAGAAACAAGATGGAAATGTCTAATTTTAAACACTGCTTTATACCAGAGTCACATCCCAGTTTGAAAACTGTTGGGTGTGTTTTTTGTTACAGTGTCTAATGACCACCAGAACCATTATGGTTTCAGTGCTTTAAACTCATTTCTTTTCCAGACCATGAATTTTTGGGCATACTTCTTTTGTGTTGCTCACTTTAATGTAGGCAAAGCCTTTTGAAATCCATCTTTTCGGCTTAAAGATTTTTGGACCACACCATTCAAATTTGTGGCTCTCTTACCATTCCAGTGGATGTAGCTGTTCCTTTTTATTCGTGGGCCAAAATTGTTCAAATACATTTAAAAGAGACCAGTATTGGGGCAGTACTGAGCCAGGAGTTGCCATATCATAAAATTCACGCATCACAGACTGAATCCCAGGAGCAGTGGATGGGAAGAGCTGAGAAGAAATGTTCAAAGAAAACATCAACAGAAGAAAAAAAATCAACTGAAAAGTAGGCTGAAATGTTGCATTACGAATAGTATTCATATTTAGTCAGACATTGTTTCATCGAGCAGTTATTTATTTAAAATCCTATTGGTCATGGGTTGGGATGCTAACTCAGTTGCACTGGAAGCTGAGGACCCAAGTCTGATGTCCAGGAAAGCCAAGTATGAACTCCTACAGAATCCAGCATGGCAGATATAAAAAGTATCTCCTTCATTGGTTGACTTGGTAAACTTATATGAGTGCATAAGTAACTAATATAAGTAACTTATCTATATATAGGTTGAAAAAAACTACAAGGAGTATTTGAAGCTTCCGTCAGATTAACAATGCACCAAATAGTTTTAAATACTATTTAAAGATAGTTTTATATGAATAAATATTAAGTAAGAACATAAAGTCATCATAGTCTATATTAGTGGCAGAAATAAAACACATTGTGCACGAACACTCAGACGTAATCACTTATGCTTTGATATTGACCAAGAAATTGATAAACACACCAAAAATTCCAGGGTGAGAAAAAAATGCCTGTTTGCAGACTGAAACCAATAAGAGCTGCTATGAGCGTTCATATACAATCTATTTTTTAGACACTTGCATTATTGCTGCCACCAATTAAGCTGGGGTAGAGGGGAGATGTGGGGGAACTGTGGTCGGGATGTAATGCATGAGAGAAGACTAAATTTAAAAAAAAGATTGGGGCTGTTTTTAAAAGTCTTATTATGTTTAAATATATTTAAATAATATATTATGCTTAAATATATTTTTCTTAAGTTAAAAGGGCAATAAAATGTAGCAAATATTGGTTGCATATTCAGGCCCCAAAACTAAAAGAATTTTTTTATAGAAAAATATCAACATCTTCCCCAGAGAACTGTTGTACCCTGGCAGCAGCTATGATGCCAAATCCTTCACCTCTACTAAGCCACATATTACAGCGAATGCTTAAAGCAAAGCATGTACATCTTTCCAAAAGGAAAAAAGATGCCTACAAAAGACTGTGTGTTGTGAAGAAATATCTATGTGCGATTTGAAGGAAAAACTGGGCAGTTTACAGCTAATCTATTAATATCATAATCTCAGTCATTAAGTGGAAAGAAATATCACTTTTGTTTTACCAGTTGGAATTCTCCCAGACTCCCAAGTTCCTTTATAAAAGTCCTAATTGAGTGGATTTCCTCTAAGGACAGGCACTGATTGAGCTCCTTTTGATAGTTTCCATCCTGGAAAGAAAGAAGCCTTAAGTAATCGTGAAGCAGTCAAACCATCTTTCTCCCAGTCACCCCCACTTAACAAATCAATCAAACTCTGTAACAGCTAAACTTATTAAAGTTATGGAATTCATTGAGACTATAAACTGTCACGACAATGTTCAAATATAAAAATAATCACAATTGATGAGATTGACTCTCACTAACCAAATGGTATGTTGGTAGTGAGAGGGCAGGTTATGTGTGACCACGGTTTGTGGATGGAAGATTTTCCTTGTGCCCTCAGAGCAATAGAGGTGAAAACATCTGCCAATGAACCCCCAGTGTGGAACTCTGCCATTGAAGAGTTTCGTAGACTGGCAAACACTGTAATCACCTTAGGTTTTCCCATAACCATATGCTTCCTAGAGCGTCCACAAGATCAAGAGCAACCCTCTCTGACAAGGTGTTGTGACAGACATCATCAGGACCTTTGCAAAAGCTTTTACATACTCCTTTTCCAAATTCTTCAAATATGAATTTCAAAATAGAAAGATATGTGGGGGATAATATTACGGCAATTGGTACTGATTTTTTTTAGTGAATAAAGAAATAGTGTTAGTCTGCCGTTAAAACAATCAAACAAACAAAAATCCTAACCAACAAAAACCAGAACCATTCTAAAGCAAACCACCCCAATTATCAGCATCTAGTCAAATGTTAACAGACATGAATATTTCAGCAAATTAATGCTTTAATTCACATCCCCTGAAGTCATCCTGAAGCACTCTGGCATTCTAGAATGTCTTTAGAGAGTTCTAAGAGTCTTTGTAAAGTGTCCTAAAATGTAAAAACACATGCATCATTCGAAATATCTATAAACATTTCCTTAACAATCATGAACTTTTTCACTTCATTTCCAACACAATGTTTCTCATGCATACTCAGTCAAAATAAAATAAATTTTTTTCAGTCAAAATAAAGTTTTCAGGTCAGAGAAAAATTCTGAAGCACACAGTCATAGATGACAACTATCAGTTAATTTCAAATAAACTTCTAAATTTTTAAATTTCACCATAAAATAACTAGTGGCTAAATATTCACTGTCAGCGTGCACATTTGGACTTACCTCAAACGCACCGGCTCTATGAAACCTCTGCAATAGCTCAGAAAATAAGGGAAGTGAAGATGTATTGGAGAAGAGGAAATTGAAAGTATCCTCCAAAAGGATTTTTTCTGTATTTTGGTCCTTCAAATTGAAATTCTCATCATCTTGAAATTTTAAGTGCTCATGTACCTTTGAAGGAAGAGAAGTAGGGGAAAGGAAATGAATTCTAAGGGATGATTTATTTCAGGTTGGACTGCAGACCAGAACTGACATCTAGTGGTCTCTTGGAGGCTAACAGCTTTATAGACGTGAGTAATGTTTCATATGAAGATGCCTGCCATTCTTTCAAGGCATAGGAACATGAGCTATTTCAAAGTCACCCTAGCTTAGTCTGAAGCTTTTTATATCTCACAAATATTTGTTCATGAAAGATAATATGTAACATTTTTTAAATACATTTTTGAAAGTTTAATTTCAACTATTAGATATGCATCAAAAAGGCAAATGACCATTAAAATTTCATAAAGATTCTAAATTTTATAGATAAATTTTATAGATAAACCTGTCAATTTTCTGTAATTGTATTATCTCTATTATGGTTTGGGAAAAGCTAAACTCTGATGGAGTTGAACTCTGGCTAACCATAGGGTGATTGTGCTCCCCTTTCTTTCTTACCCTATAGCCCAATAGATAGCTTTTTTAAAATTGATTTTGTCGAGCTAAATATTTTCCTCTGCTCCTCTCCCTGATTCTCCCCTCCCCTTTGACTGTCTCCTATGGTCCCCATGCTCCCAATAGACAGCTTTTTATAAACTAACTGAACCAATATTTTTGTCTTCTTACCACTGAAGAACGTTATAGAAGAAAAAATATGCTGAGGAAGGTGACTTAAAAGAGTTTGAACTCAAAACAAACTAAAAATCACCCACATTTATACATACAGCTATCAGAAAATATTTCAAAAATTCACATGAATTTTTATTCTTTTAAATTAAAATAGAAAAATAACTTATTCGTTTGTATTACTAGGGATGGAACCTAAGACCTAGTACATTCCAGGCAAGAATTCTGCCTCTGCTCAGTCTCTCTAGTTCCTATGCCTTTTTAAAATGAAAATGAAGACCAATTTAAAAAGAACGACAGCTCTATCTCTTCATGATGCCATGCAAGCACCCTGGGTCATCTTCTGTTTGCTATTATTGATATGTCTTACTCTTCCCCATGAAAATTTAATGCCATCTTTGTTCATGAATTCAGGGGAACTATAGAAAACGTCATGTTTCACCTACCATGTCCACATGGTGGTTAGTATTCCCAGGTTCCCCCTCGCTAGGGCTCATGGGCATGAGTCTATATGGACTGCAATGGAAGCTGTTTTAATCAGCTGGTCACTGTAGATGAAACCCATTGTCAGTATGCACGTATGGGCTTTCCTCAAATGCACTGGCTCTATAAAACGTCTGCAGTAGCTCAGAAAGTACAGAACGTGAAGATGTATTGGAGAAGAGGAAATTGACGGTATCCTCCAAAAGGATTTTTTCTGTGTTTTGGTTCTCCAAACCCCCCACCCCCCACAACACACACACACTGTATCCTGCATACTCACCTGGAGCACTATAGGATATCCAACATCTCCATAACCAATATCAAAAGTTAAAAGCTGAAAACACTGTCTACATCTGGAAGAAAAAACACAAGGTAACAGGACAACATATTTTCCATATTTTTTTCTAGACTTACTCTGCTTTCTGTTATTACATTGTTTATAATCGATACCATTAAATTTCATAATTTAAAAGGCCAATGACATGGATAATAGAAAAATTACATAGAATGGATTATTTGACTTGAGTCTCTTTTGTTCACTAGAGAAAGTGCAAATACGCCTCTATTCTTTCTCCATGACACACTATCATAATCAACTATGTTATTCCGTGAGAACCTTCCTATGGGGAAAAGTTACCAGGTCCTCCATTTTTAACATTGATGCTTTCAGAAAGTGCAAGAAGGAACGCAATAAATGAGTGCAGTGCACCAATCACCTTTCCCCTTCCGGCAAACTAGACAACGTTTCCCTAGAACAAAGGCCGCGAGCTATTGTCAGAGAAGCTAAACTATGAGATTAGAGCTGATTGAATTTTGTTAAAAGTTTTTGTTTCTTTCTCAGGATTTTGAAATCGTTGGGATAGGATAGTTGAGAGCTAATGTATTATGTACAGGGAAAGTTATACCTAGTCAATACTTAGTATATTTGATGGAAATACTTGAAAGGAGTTACAAATTCAAAATTAATTTTAGGATCCAGGAATAGGCTTGTAGTCCCAGCCCTTAAGAAGTAGAGGCAGAAAGATTACAAGTCCCAGGCTAGTCTAGACTGTAAACTAAGATTGCTGAAAAGATAATAGTAATAATAAAAAAATGTTTAAAGCCTTGTGTTTTATTTCTTATCACACCATTTGGATACAAACAAATGGCATGTAACAAACTCTGAAGTTATAAATCTATAAATTAGGCCATTCATGTTTAGGACATCATATTATGATACACTGACATACACTTTCCCAAGTTCTATTTACTTTCAGTAACTAAGGCTTTTCACGAACATATTTAAGAACCGCTAGCGCTCTCTCTCTCTCTCTCTCTCTCTCTCTCTCTCTCTCTCTCTCTCTCTCTCTCTCTCTCTCTCTCTCTCTTACCTATGGATGGTCTTTGGTCGCAGAGTAGATGCATCACTGAACACCTCGGCCACCAATAAGAGCTTGCTAATTGCTTCTTTCATGCTATCCAATGCCTGCAGAGGTGAACTTGTCCTTAGGAATGTCTCAAAAAACATTTGCAACTAGGAAAAAAAAAAGATTGACATGGCGAAATAAATTTTCAGCTGCCTATTGTTTCCAAAGTTAGTTATATGAAGTTGTCTCCCTGTCTACTTCAAAAAAAAAACAAAACTTTAAATAGAAAAATTTGAAGATCAAAGATTTAAATATTTTTAATTCAAGTCACAAGGAGAAAGAAATGTCTATATACCAAGCAATTTAGCTTTGTTATTTTTGTTTGTTTGTTTCTCGAGACAGGGTTTCTCTGTGGCTGTCCAGGAACTCACTCTGTAGACCAGGCTGACCCCAGACTCACAGAGATCTGCTTGCCTCTGCCTCCAGAGAGCTGGGATTAAAGGTGTGCACCACCATCACCTGCTCTTTGCAGTTTAACTTTTTTTTCATTTTACTTTTCTTGTAGCACCAACTCTTGGAAGGATAGTGTAAGGTTGCAATGGAGTCCTCTGGATTGATTTGTGGTTCAATCAGTAGGGGGACTGGCCTTGCCACTCACTTTTCTGAATCTTTGCTTCCTTGCTTCACAGTGGGCTAAAACCCACCAAAAAGAGAGTTGTGCACCCAACAAGGAAAAAAAAATATTTGAAGGCCAGTAGAAAAAAATGAAATTCAAATATTTGATTTTTAATTATCAATTTTTTGTATGTATCAATAAAAATGCCTTTTCAAAGTTGTTTCTTTTTACCTCATTTTTCTCTGGGAGATCTAGACAACCAGAGAAGAATTTAAGAGACCTACATGGTTGTGATAACATTTTAATATAAGATTTCCTCTGATGAAGAACATGGGATGATATTAGGAGAAGTTCAAGTCTATGTATTCCTGTGGACAATACTGTTAGTTTCACAAACAACTATTCTTATTTACTTAAATATGAAAAATCATAAAATAAACTATCTTTTGAAGATGCTTAGCATTAAATTTCGAGTCAATATTTTTTTAAAAAATATAAATCAAATCTTATTGACTCACAGACTTTCTCTAGATAAACATAGACTTTCAAAGATAAAGAACAAAAAATATTTTTTGAAAAAACATGCAGCAGATATTTGATCAACGCTTTCATAAAAATCAGCCAAGCCTATCAGAACTGCAAAAGATCACACATTGAAAACTTCTGATGTGATGATAATGAAGGACAAATATCAGCAGAAATTATCTATGGAAAATGGTAACCGTATCTTTAAAACGTGCCACTGAAACTCCCCCAACATCAACAAATACTGAGTCCATAAACTTTTATAAGCCCAAACCAGAAACCTAATTAGACCAGGCATTAAGACCGTAAGAACATATCATCAACATCTGGCAATTGAGATATTTTTCCATTTTACTAAAGAAAATGAGTGTAGTGATTGTATAATTAAAAGAAAACAAATTAATGCTAACAGTAAAAATGTTAACACCCTTGAGTCAAAATAGAATAACACTGTGTGTTCCTAAGTAAAAGCAGCACAAATCTTATCCAGTTCACCATGCTGATAGGAAGAGTTGCCAATGACATGCGCGCATTCTTTCCACATTAATGTCACCTGAATGGTACAGAGCTTAAGGTTAATGACATAACAATGTGGAAAAGTTCTGTCAAGCATATATGGTGTACAAGACTGAGTGTCAAATTATACCCTCGACGGAGGAGATCAGCAAATTAGTATTTGACGGTTGCATTTATTCCCCGAATGTGCAAATGGCTTTTTCTTCAGTCATAACTAGAATAATAAGAGTTGAAGACAAAGTCTATTGAACTAATTCTCTACTCTGCGGGAAGCCGACTTTCTGTGACTTGGGGACACACTTCACAGCCCTGCGGTAAAACACTCCAAAAAGTATCAGGTTCAACTCTGGTTCTGTGCCACCCTGGGCCACTTCAGGGAGTTCATAGCAGGCCCTACTCTGTAGACTTAGTTAACTTACTCAGCACAGTGTCAACAAACCTCACATGCCAGAATAAAAGAAGGGTCATGCGAGTGCTTCATGTGTATGTGCATATATGTCATCAACCTGCATGAGGTCTCCCAAAGAGAGTATAACACATTTGTCATTCGCCATAACCGAATCACTCAGACTAAATGAGAGATTAATTCCCATTTTGGTTTATACTGTAAATGACTGTGCTAATTATGTTTTCTTGGTCAGATCACCTGTGATGTATATATCTCGGTGTACTCAGATGCCCAATGACAAAATGTGCCAGATGACCTCATTAGAATCTATCAAATTAGAATAAATTTGCAATTAATTAAGTCCAAGAATTTCAGTACTTGAGAAACATCGCACTGGGGAGATTTTATATCTCACCCACAAATCCCGAAAGGAGCAATGTCGCCTTTCTGCTCATTTGAATCATGGAGACACAATCTAAATATTAAGTAGACTCCTCCATCTTTGTACAGTTACTGCTAATGCTGGGATTTTGTTTGTAACCGCGCTGCATTCTTTCCCTAGTCAACATCTTTAAGTTAAATCAATAAGACAGTGTAACTTTCCAATGAAATCAGGGCCTTGAATAAAAACCCAATTTAAAGCTAGATGTGATGGTGTACACCTTTGTTCCCAACACTCATGAGGCAGAAATAGGCGGATCATAGATTTGAGGACTGTTTGAGGTAGGTAGTCAATCTACGGCCAGTTTAAGCTACACAGTGAGACCCTGTCTCCAAAAGCCCAATGCAAAAACTAAACAAGCAGCAACAAGAGAATGCTTGAAGCATTTCATGACATTACAATCTCCACAGCCTGCTTATTTTTTTCCTGTCAGGGCAACAATAAAACCCAAACTTATTGCTAAATAAATGGGTAGAAAATGACCTTGTAAGATGATAGTTATAAAGAAAACTTAAATATCACTGTTCGTTTGTACTTAAAAATTTTAAGAAATAATTGGTGATATGTGTTAGCATTTACAATGTAAATCCATTTAGGCAACTGAGATATAAACAAGGCCAAAACTATATATTGAAAATGGAAGGATGGAGAGCAAGACAGCTGGATCTGCCCCTTACCAGCTGCAGCACTCGGGAAAGTGGGCCCTGCTCCTCGCCTGGGCAACACAGTAGAGCTGGCCTTGAAGGTGTAGATGTGGGTGAACAGGCCTGAGGGTGTGAAAGAAAGAGACCTGGCTCTTCCCCTTGCTGCCTGCTGTGTTGGGTGAACTAGCCAGGGCAATGCTGGAGAGCTGGCCCTCCTGGTGGGGACGAGGGACACCTGGCAGGCTGAACAACACAGCTACCACCCAGGCCCAGAACCAGAGTTATGAGCTGGTCCACCCTAACATCCATCTCATCTGTGGAGTTCTGGAGCATGCGAAGGGACCGGTCCTTCAGACCCAAAGTTTCAGGGTCTCCATGACTCAAGGTAACAATAGGATACCTAATAGGAGCCTCAGTGAGGGCCCAGTAACAATAGTGTAGAGGAACCAGAGGACTCTAACCAGATTCATTGCAATGAACACTTGCATGTAAAGGTGTATGGACTAAGGGGTACACTGTGCGCCTCACTCTGTCACACCACAGCTTCCACAATGAAAATTGTTGTTGTTGTTGTTGTTGTTTTAATTCTTTTCTTTTCTTTTGGGGGAGGTTTGCAAGAGCAGAAAGTGGATATGAAGGGTTGGGGAGATGAATGGCATCAGGATATATGATGTGCAATACACAAAGAACCAATAAAAAGTTAGCAAGAAAGAAAATGGAAGGATGGAGAAGCTGAGAATGAACCAAAATATTTGGAGGAAAGTTTCAAGTATGAATTTGGTACCTTAAATACTTCCAAAGTGCACTAATTATTCACCTCATATGCATGCCTCATAACCATCTCAGTATTTCTGTTCTCCCCTGAAAGACTGCACACATTGTTCTTGATTGATTGAGTAGCTCTCAATTATCACATGCTAATTAATACATTCGATGTTAAACTTGATGACCTTCTTGTCTACTCTTCTCATTAGACTGAGGTATTCTAGGCCAGGAATTACCATTTACCTCTGACACATGGGTACCTGAGGCAAAATCAATATTTAATAAGGTTGTTGAACGAGGAATCCTAGATATGTCCTTATAGAAACCTCAGAAACGTTCACTGAAATAATTTGTTTACTCTAGCCTCTAAATAATGCAATCTTAAAACAATGCATTAGGCTGTGGCTATCGTTCATTGGCAGAGCATAGGACCTTAGGTTTATCCTGGGCCAAAATTATCTCAGGCCCTGTACCCTATCGCATCTGATTGTCCTGCATCGTGGGGCTGCAGGAATGGGCGGATAGCACACTCGCCTTTCCCTGGGGAACAAGGAGGCCTAGCAACAACTAGGCTCAAGAAGCCTGGCAACTGGAGGCTCAAAGAAGGCAGCAGGCTTAGTCCTGGACCACAGAAACACAAGGTACACCATATGTATTTGTTGTTTCCGTCTCACTAGAGTGAAAGGATATGCATTTTCCCCCTAGTGACTTTTAATAAAACCTTTGAAATATAGAAGCTTATGACTGTTTGAGAGGATTTTTGAGATAAGGAAATTTAATCCCAGAGCTAGAGAGAAAGCTGGAAGATGAACCAATATTAGTTTTCCTTAGAGTAATATCTTTGGATAACTTAGAAACTTTGGCAGAATACTAATATATTTAGAATCTAGGTTTGCGTGCTATACCTTACTAATACCAATCCCTACAATTTCTTTTAGTGCTACTGTGAATGAGAGAGATTTTGTCATCCCTGATTGAAGAGTAGTAATTTTTAATTTTAATTTTTAAACATTTTATTTAATATAATAAATAATATATTATTTAAAATATTAATATTTTTACATTTTAATATTTAAGTATTAGTATTTGCATTAAGCATATGGAAAGATGGGTAACCCTGTTACTGGAGAAAACATGTCAAAACTACAGCAAAGCAAGTCCTCACACCTGTTTCGTATGATTATTATCTGATAATTATCTTAAAACACACACATAATAACAGATATCAGGAAAGATGTGAAGGAATTATGGTCCTCAGACTCTGAAATTGG